AGGAGCGGCCACTGCACTCCAGTCTGGGTGACAGAGTGAGACTCCAACTCAAAAAAAAAAATCAGTTTGTTATTATGGCTTTAGATGAATGCACTTTCCTGTATATTATACCTCAATAAGTAAAAAAGGACGGGGCACAGTGGCTCACACCTGTAATCCCAACACTTTAGGGAACCAAAGTGGGACAATCACTTGAGCCCAGGAGTTCAAGACCAGCTGAGCAATATAGTGAGAGACCTCATCTCTACAAAAACTCAAAAAAATTTTTGCCAGAGTGGTGATGCACACCCATAGTTCCAGCTACTTGGTAGGCTGAGGTGCACCTGAGCCCAGGAGGTTGAGGCTGCAGCCATGATCATGCCACTGTGCTCTAGCCTGAGTGACAGAGTGAGACCCTGACGCAGAAAGAAAAAAAAAAAGAGAGAGAGACAGAGAGAAAGAGATTCACATAATTTAATTTATAAATTGGACATTGAACAATTTAGAAAAAAGGTCTTTCCAGAGGGAAGTGCCTCAAAGGAAGTATCTACTAGGATTCTGATTATTACCATTTTTAAAGGAAACCTTTCATGAAGTATTATTTTTTATTAATTTGTTGAGATATAGTTTATATACAGAAAAGTGCACAAATTATAAGTATATATAGTTTATTGAATTTTCATGAAGTTCATAGCCTGTGTAACCAGCACCCACATCAAAAACATATTAGAACCTCAGCAGTCCCCTCATGCCTCCTTTCGGTCTCTACTACTCTACTAGTGGCTATTAATTTTAATAGCCACTACACTGCTGGGCTCAGTGGCTCAGTCTGTAATCCCAGCGCTTTGGGAGGCTGAGGTGAGTGAATTGCCTGAGCCTGCGGGTTCGAGACCCACTTGGGCAACTTGGTGAGACCTCATCTCTACAATAAATCAAAAATTAGCTGGGCATGGTAGCGTACACCTGTAGTTCCAGCTGCTTGGAAGGCTGAGGTGGAAGGATCTCCTGAGCCCAACAGGTCGAGGCTGCGGAGGCCGGGAGTGTGCCACTGTACTCCAGTCTGGGTGACAGAGTGAGATTCCAACTCAAAAAAAAAAAAAAAATAGTCACTACAACTGGAACATCCACACTTCATCTTACTTTCCTCCAAATTTGGCTTGATAACTTCTCAAACCTGTCTTCTCCATAAACATTACAACCATACCACTCCCTCCTCTTTTCATCAGCAACCAAATCCTAGAGACTGGAGATGCTCTCAGGGTCAATATGGCCAGTAGCAGTCTAAGATCCTAGCAGGTTAACAGTGAGAAGCAGTTTGTTTTACTACACCATGATCGTTATTCAAACTTGTACAGCCCTTTTTTAAAGGGTCTATAGGAGTTATTGGGTTGCCTTATCACCAATATACCTGCCTTTTCCCATTGGAGTTTAGATTGAGAGTATCTGGGTCGTGAAAACTCATAACAATCCCTAGAATTTCAGTTCTTTATAAGTATTTCTTCTGTAGTGCTTCTTCAGCGATTTCAAGTGGTTTTCTGTCATTTCATTTATATAGCCATCATCTCTGAAAGGGGAAACAAGCCAAGAGATCTTTTTTTATTTTTTTTGAGTTGGAGTCTCACTCTGTCGCCCAGACTGGAGTGCAGTGGCCGCTCCCGGCCACCGCAGCCTCGACCTGCTGGGCTCCGGCGATCCTTCCGCCTCAGCCTTCCAAGGAGGTGGAACTACAGGCGCGCACTACCACACCCAGCTAATTTTTTGATTTGTTGTAGAGATGAGGTCTCACCAGTTGCCCAGGCGGGTCTCAAACCCGCGAGCTCAGGCAATTCACTCACCTCAGCCTCCCAAGGCACGGGATTACAGGCTGAGCCACAGAGCCCAGCAGGAGAGCTTAACATTCCTACTGAAAGGGTGAATGAGGTTTGGGTGCCTGAACATGATGTAATCAGGTCTTAATAAGTGGTTCTAATGTTCTTTCCAATAAATTTTTACTAGATTTTACCAGCTGTGTACTTCCCTATAAGCAGCCCTTGAAGCATTTTGTGATCTGTTTGTCTCTTCTCCCCAGGAGGTTGCCCCAAAGCCTGTTGTGATCTCTACCCCCACACCCACCATTGTACGTCCTGGCTCCCTGCCTCTCCACTTGGGCTATGATCCACTTCATCCAACACTTCCCTCTCCAACCTCCGTCATCACACAGGCTCCACCATCCAACAGGCAAATGGGGTAAGTAAAGAGAGCAGGGAGAGCTAATGAGTGCTGCATTTCTTTCCACTTTGTGAAATGATTTGATGAAATGGATTGTTTTTGAATACCCAAGGAAAACAAGTCACTGAGATTGCCCCTAAAAATAAATTCTCCCCCATAATCTTCCTTACCTCTTTAATAGATAATTAAGTATTTATTTGGGGTAATACTTCCTTAACTTGAGGATTTAATACTGTAACCTAAAAAGAAGAATCCTTAAAACTTTAGGAAGTTCATCATATTCTACAGAAGTCTATTGGGGCACTACTGAATGAGAGACTGAAACCCAGGAAATCATCTTCTTTGAGTCTAGTGTTCCCCTCAGTCCTAGCTGGGGTTCTTGGTCTTTACTACCCCTGATTTTGTTTGTCCATTTGTCTTCTCTCCTGGCATGGCCCATATTGATGTCCTGATGGGATGACTTGAGATCCTATCCCCAGGTACCCATGGGTTAAGAGGTTGTTGTCAGGATTAAGCTTCTTGGAGCTTATTGTTTTCTGGACCCACTAGGAAAAATAAAAAGGGACAGCCTTTGGGGGAGGAGGGTGAGAGGGCAGAGCAAAATGTGGAAAGGAATGTGAGAAACTTGTTCAGATTTGGCCATCATATGACATAATTCCGCTATGCAAAATGACAACTTTGATCCAATTTCCCCTTGCCTAAGGCAAGACAGAATTCATACATGCCAGTGATAGGGTGTTTATATAATTGTTCAAAACTTTTAATAGGATCAGCTTCCTACCATTTGAGTTTGCTTAATTTGCAAGGTATAAAGATGTTGCCATGTCTTTCTATCTGTGAGGAAATTAAGTAGCATTCCTTACCTTTATGAGGGTGTCAAAGATTTTACAGTGCTGCCCTATACTTCCCTAACTAGAGAAGACTGGAAAATCTGCTGTTGTTACAGGAGGAAGATCCGTGGACAAAAGGTCTGTATTATGAGCATTTCATTTCATGTGTCCTCTAGGTCTCCCACTGGCTCCCTCCCTCTTGTCATGCATCTAGCTAATGGACAAACCATGCCTGTGCTGCCAGGGCCTCCGGTACAGATGCCTTCTGTTATATCGGTGAGCTCTGTTGTTGGGGCAACCAACCCTACCAACATGGTGATCCCTCCCTTCCACCTGAATGGTCATAAACACATATGAGCCCCGGGGAAATGTCGGCTCTGGTCTGTAATAGTTGAGCATGGCAGTCTGCCCAAACTCTTCTCTAACTCTGCCAATCCAGCACTGTGGAACACCAGACAAAGACTCATCTGGACATTTGGCTCCTTGTTTAGGAATTGATCTTGCCAGCCCACTGATTAGTTGATTTCACTTGGCACATAGCACTTCCCACATTGCCCGCCACTTTCCCCAAGATACAGCCCCAGCCTTTCCCACAGAAATTATCCCAACACTGAAGGATTAGATTCTCTGCCCTCTGGTGTTCCCTGGGGAAAGGTGTTTCCCAGCCTGTCCCTACATGCCCTATGGGCAGGTTGCACAGAACAGGCCTTGGCATGCCAGTCTCAAAAGCACTTCATGTTGGGAAAATTCTTGCCCCCCAATAATATTATGTCCCCTTCTGGTTTTTCTTCCTTCTCTTGATCCAGTTGGCCAGACCTGTATCTATGGTGCCAAACATTCCTGGTATTCCTGGCCCACCAGTTAACAGCAGTGGCTCCATTTCTCCCTCTGGCCACCCTATATCATCAGAAGCCAAGATGGTGAGTACATCCCAGCCTGTGTCAGTGTTGGCCTCTAAAAGAAGTGGTATCAGTTTAGGTTTTTCAAGTAAACCAGGCAGAGGAAACTTCTGGGACTTGCAAAACTAAGGACACCCTGCTGTGAGACCGTGGGGGTGGGGGTTGGGGGGAAACACACTGCTTCATGACTCTCATCTTCTCTCCCCTACCTTTAAAGCCTGGTACATAGACCATGGCAGTGAAAATAGGCAGCACAGATTGTTTGGAATGGAACACTTGCCATTTTAGTTTTAGGGTGACAGATGGAGGGTGGGTGAGTGGGCAGGGGAGCTGGCCAAGAGGTGAATAGCTGCGTAACCAGCATCTGGCCAGGTTCCAGGAGAGAGCTTTCATCTGGACTCTATTGCTTCAACAACCCCCACCCCCCAACTGTGCCCAGGATGATAGCCAGGGATCAAAGCAGGCATTTTAGGGATCCAGGTGCACATTTTTTCTTCCTGTCATTTTATTTTAATTCTTCTTTTAAGGAAAAATTGGAGTGAAAATTTTAGGTATTTGTAAGGTCAGTAATAAAATCTAAGCCCACTGTCCTCATCCTTGATAACAGAATCTTTTCCTTGACAAACTTTTTTTCTTCTCTTTCCCCATAGAGATTAAAAGCCACCCTAACCCACCAAGTCTCCTCAATCAATGGCGGCTGTGGAATGGTGGTGGGCACTGCCAGCACCATGGTGACGGCCCGTCCAGAGCAGAGCCAGATCCTTATCCAGCACCCTGATGCCCCATCCCCTGCCCAGCCACAGGTCAGTTGTGTCCCGGATGGGAGAACTAGCTGTGTCACCCTTACACTTTATGTCATGTCTATTTTTCAAGGAACAGGAAAGTAGAGAAGGACAGATTTCAGCTTTCTGAATATCTTCCTACTACTATGGTTCTTGCTGATAGTTTTACTACAGCAAAACACACCATTCTTCATACACCCTTGTGGAAAACTTATATGCAAACAGAATGAATAATGCAGAACTGTTGCAGAAGAGGTCTCAGTTTTTGTTTGCTGGTTTTCTACATGTGTAAATAATGGTTTAATATATCTGCAGAATCTTCTAAAATGTGGCAGAACCTCTCTTCAAGCTACATTATGCGCTATAAACAAAGGAGGCTCCCCTAGTCTCTCCCATCTATTACATCTTAAAAAATAATAACCTACCTGATTAGATTTTACAACAAAAACCAGGTAATAACAGCACATTAATATAATGTAATGTTACAGTGTTAAGATAGCTCAGTAGGCTGGGTGCGGTGGCTCACACCTATAATTCTAGCACTTTGGGAGGCTAAGGTGAGAGTATTGCCTGAGCCCACGGGTTCGAGACCAGCCTGGGCAACTTGGTGAGACCTCATCTCTACAATAAATCAAAAAACTAGTCAGACGTGGCACCGCACATCTGTAGTTGCAGCTACTTGGAAGGTTGAGGCGAAAGGATCGCCTGAGCCCAGCAGGTTGAGGCTGTGGTGGCCATGAGCGTGCCACTGCACTCCAGCCTGGGTGACAGAGTGAGACTCCAACTCCAGAAAAACAAGGGAGGGCACATAACATCAATAAGGGTATATGATCTCAAACCAGGCAAAGTGGAGACCAAAGGAAGATCCAAAGTTTGCCTGTAAAATGACCACTTATCTTTTTTTTTTTCTTTTTTGAGTTGGAGTCTCACTCTGTCACTCAGACTGGAATGC